AAAATAACTTTTCCCGTGGATTTCGATCCAATATGCGATGGAATTGTTAATTTTTGTTCGTAGTTGTCTCGGTTTTCTTAATAATTTTGGATTATTCGGAGTTTCAATGAATTTGAAATTCTTTTGGATGCGGATAGTGCCAAAATCTGTGCCTGTTTAAATATTACTTTTTTAGGATTGTTATCCCTGGAAATAAATTAATATTCGTTTCCGAAATTCAGCAGACTTCGTGTCTATTCATTCCTCCTCGGTTAGGAGATACTAACTCGGTAGAATTTTGCCTAGATTCGTAATCCGCCCAATTACCCAAGACATCGCGTAAATGCCAGCAGCGCAGTTCGTTTAATAACAACTTGGATCGCGTATTCAACTCGTATCGCAACGACATCACGGTGCAGATTGTGTCACCGGTACACAGGTGGCGGCAGTCTGCCTCGATTAGTAATTTCACTTCACTTCGTATGATAATATCGGGAGGAAGTTCTTTCAGCTGATCCCGATATGCTTCGTTAATTTCGAGGTCGTATAATTAACCTGTCTGCGAAATTTCGTACCGGGATACTTTGGAGCTCGAGGAAGCAGACTGGTCGTAAATACTTTTGCTCGAGCCTGGGATGCGAATTTTCTACATAATCTATGCTATTACGAGACTATCGAGAGATCATCAGATCTGTGGGAATGCATCCGTTGATGCGGAGAATGAAAGCCTAAATATTGTTTCTACTCCCAGAGATATCGAGGCAACCGAGTCAATGCGCGCCTGGCGTATGTCTTTACGGCAAGCATTCCATGACTCGCGGACCGCTTCGAGCTAGCCACCTTTGGGCTAGGCCCTGCGAAAAGGATTCCGTTTGTGATTAGAATGTGGGACAGAACTTTTCGAAGAGAGATACCGTGTCCTCTGCACCAGCCCCCTCGAATAATAAAGCTTGTATTCACACGAAATAGTGCCTTAATTCTTTAATACCCACGACATCCCTTCACACCTGTGAGTAATACCTGTACTAAAAATTAAAAATTGAGTTTCGGAAGGCCCAAGAATTATCATAGAAACGAATGGAATAGTTACTCGTTTGGAGCAAGCACTACGATATTTCAAAACATTCGAAAAACGTGGACTCTTGCTACACCTAACCTATAAATCCACTCATTCGTCGAAAGTTATGATTAAAATTGTCAGAGTTTCCTGTCTGCTCGCGTTATTTTCGTTAAAGATCGAGGTCAGACAAGGTTCGAAATTTCCTGCCAGAATCGGCGAGCCCACGCTCCTGGCGGGACTGATTTCCGCTCGGGAGTCGTGGGAGGCGAGACGAGGCGTGTACAGGGCTAAATTCCCGAAGATAAATTTAACGCTGGAAGGCAGCGCGCTGTTCTCGCGAGAGCAACTTCGAAGCTGGCCTTCCGGAATCGCTGGCGTTCAGAGAGACGCCGTTGTAATTTACCGGGGGCGCGTTTCGGCCTGCTGCAAAAGCGAAAGCGTGCGATTTGTTCGGCTCGCTGTTCCCGGCCGGCGGACGGTGAAAAGCGCGAGCAAACGAGCCAAATTGTCGTCGTTCTTGCCTTTCCGCTTCGAATATCGTCTTGTAAACGAGCATGCTAATGGACGTTCTCGTGCTTCGCGATTTATCCGCGTTCGTTCTCGCCCGGTCCTGGAACGCGGAGTGTTTAAAACGAGTTAATTCGAGGTAACTGCGTCGAAAATCGTCTCGATTATCAATGGCCTCTTGTTTACTAACGACAGACATAACTCACGATTCTATTCCGGGTCCGGAAAGTTTGACAGTTAATCATTCGTGGTTGATTGACAGGAAGGATCGGCTTAATAAAGCAGTCTTATCAGGGCCTAGATTTATCCAGGTTATCTGTTAGCCGATTAATCGGTTAATCGAAGTCCTATTGTGCCTATAATGCTGTCTAAGGTCAATTGGGCTAATTGACTAGCTAAATGCTCAATTACCAACTAATCGTGAAATCACAATCTACCAAACCTCGCACCTTCGTCTAGATCTTGATTAATATTCAATTACTACCGGGACGGGTCTATCCGGAAACAGAAGATGGCTACTTTTTACATTTCTAGGGAACATTCGTGTATGGAATTAAATATTCCTAAATCATTCGGAACTTATTTACAATATTCTCCGTTGTGTTTCTTGGATCATGCGCAACTGAAAGGGAGAGCTAAACGTGCAATATACCATCGCTCACGAGTATCCAAATCTTCTCTCGAGACTTCGGAAAGAAGCGAGTGTTCGGACACTTTCGAGCGATACGCCGCTACTCCTACGAGGATTAAAGAACGAAATTTGTATACACAGGGCAACGGCAGTTCGATCACTGTCAACCAGCGCCGTTCACGAACAAGGTATTAATTCCGACGTCGAGCAGGCAGCGTTCGCAACGAGTTCCTCGACCTTCGATGCCGAAACGTCGCTGAATAACCGAGGGGGGATCGAGGGTAGCGAGGATAGATCCGCGCATCGATCTTCGAAACTTTACGACGTCCCATCGTCGCGCGCGGAATAAATATTCGCGGTCGTAAATTCAACGGGTCGTCTTCGCGAAGGGTGCGCGAGTAAAAGGGAGAGTGCACAGGGGTGGCGTGAGCCGGCACGCGCGGCGTTTACCCTCGTCGCGAGTGCCGTGACTCTGGGAATACGCGTCTGCGATTTTCTCTGCGAGCAAAGAGGAAGGCGGAAGCATGCTGCCGCGATGACGAATCGCGACTCGCGCGAGTGGAAAGCAAGCGACGAGTGACGAAGAGACGGTAAGACGGTTTAGATCGCTGATCTCGACGGTCGTGACAATTGTTAGAAGATAAATTTTAAAGGAATGTAGAGGAATTAATATTTTTACGCGACCTGAAGGCTATTTAAGTTTTTCAAGTTATGCCACGTGGAAACCGTGTTATAGAAAAATTATAATAATCTTTACACTGTGTAATTACGTTAAAAGAGAGTTGAATATGCTGCGAAGATTCAGAGAAATTTCATATTTCTTTGAGAATAGTGGAAGCATTAATCTCTTCGCGTACTATGACGAGTCTGAGTCGTGATGAAGATTTTGGTCCAAGCATGAATATCACGAGTCAGACACGTGGTTTTCGCTTATGGCACAAATTCCTCACTTGACGAATTTTATATTTCTTCGAGAATAGTGGAAGCATTAATCCCCTTGTATACTATGACGAGTTTGACTCGTGATGAAGACTTTGGTCCAAGCATGAATATTACGAGTCAGACACGTGGTTTTCGTTTATGGCACAAATTCTTCACCACGAGTCTTACTCGTGCTTGTATTCCAAAGGGTTAAGTTATGTCACGTGGTTCTTATGGCACAAATTCCTCATCACGAGTCTCACTCGTGCTTGTATTCCAAAGGGTTAAGTTATGCCACGTGAAAACAGCGTTACAGAAAAATTCTAATAATCTTTACACTGTGCAATTACGTTAAAAGAGAGTTGAATATGCTGCGAAGATTCAGAGAAATTTCATATTTCTTTGAGAATAGTGGAAGAATTAATCTCTTCGCGTACTATGACGGGTCTGACTCGTGATAAAGATTTTGGTCCAAACATGAATATCACGAGTCAGACACGTGGTTTTCGCTTATGGCACAAATTCCTCATCACGAGTCTCACTCGTGCTTGTATTCCAAAGGGTTAAGTTATGTCACGTGGTAACCATGTTATAGAAAAATTATAATAATCTTTACACTGTAGAATTACGTCAAAAGAGGGTTGAATATACTGCGAATATCCAGAGGAACTTTATACCTCTTTGAGAATAGTGAAAGCATCGATCTAATAAAAACAAAGGAACCAAATTTTTGAACCGGTCAAGATAATGTAATCGCAAAGGTATACTTCTTGCAGATCGATCGACTGGAGTGAAGTTCACGAGCTGTGTCGACAGAAGCTCGCGCAGGGTGCTTGTAAAAACTACCCCGTAAATCCGTGCAAGTGCATTGAGTTTCGGTCTGGATTAATTAAACCCTGCAGCGAGTATCTCGTTACGGTAAACGATAATTGCAAAGAAAACCGGGTGCCTGGTTAAAACCGTCTTACCTCTCGTCCCGTTCCCGTGGAATATTAAAGAAGGAACGAAAGTACGCGCAGTCTCTTGGTGGTCGGTTCCCACATATCGGCGATCGGTGCCGAAGAATGCAGGTCACGGCTGTGGGATGGAGCTAGATTCGTGGATCGGTGGCAATACTTGGTAGCGTGAACAGTGGTGAGAGGCATGTTCTATGGGTCGGTGACGCTAACTACGTGCTCGGACGCATAACCGCACGTACGCACGATAAAATGCATGCTGCATTAATATCGCGCACCCTCGTGTCACGGGGGACGAGATCGAAGCGATCGCGCGTCTCCCGAGTGCGATTTCTCTCTCGCGGGGATGCTAGCTGCAAACGAACGCCATCTCTTATCCCGGAGACAAATCCGATCGGTTTCCCGTCGAGATGAAAGATCGTAACGCTCCTCCGCCTCCGTGTCCTTTAACATCCTCTGCGAGGAAATCCCTCGGAAATTAGACGCGTAGTCGATTCCCTCTCCGGTAACCGCGTTCTCTCGCAATCTACTTACTTGGTCCATGGACCAGCGCGGCACAGACTCGGTGGCGATCTTATCGATTCTCGAGCAAAGTGCTTCGATGATTATCGCGAAACCCCTTGAAAACTCTTCTCCCTCCACCCAGAGGTATTTAGCGACTAAACACCTCCGGAAGTGGCTCTAGAGAAGCTCGCGAATTCCCACATAACCTACCTTCTACAACTCCGAGCAACTCGTCCTGCGAAAGTTGCTGGAACGGAACGAACGCTGAAAGGGAAACTCGAGAATCCGAGATCGAGAGAACGCAGTGGGCCCGACGCGACTAGGTGCGTCCGTGCGTGTGTACGATGCAAAATTGCAGGAAAAGAAAATAATCGTGTGTACATAGTAGGGTGGTTAAGATATTATCAGGCATTACGGCTTTAGTCGGAAGTATCGTGCCCACCGTCTTGACGTAGTTGACGGTCTCGGCGGTCGCCTCGGTGAGGGCCCTCCGCAGCCGTGATCGTCGCACCTGCGACAGCGTACGTGGGCAGAGTACGACGCCCTGGGCGCCCTGTGAACCGGAGCCAGAGCCAGAACCGGAACCGGGGCCGGGTACCGTGGCCATGGGCGGCGGCGGCGTCGTCGGCATTGTCGTCGACGACGATTTGCACCACCAGGGGAACTGGGCGTGTTTTTATCACCTTGTTACTCCACACTGACAGCACTTTTATAGCATACTTAGGCACAGTAGAGAGAGTGGTATACGGGTGCAGTGGTTGACGAGTGACAATAGACAAGGCTATGCTCTATATGGATCACACGAGAAGAGACAAAGTGTACGCGACGCGGGACGATTCGAGAGCGAGACCCGACGACTCGACGGGACGATCGATCGATCGACAGGTTCGACCCGCTGGTATCCGTAATTCCGAATGAACCACGCGCGTCTTTGGAAGTCTGCGACCAGCTCGCCGCGATTACTCGCAATTAGAGAGACACGCGTCGAACCTGCCAAACGCGAGGCTATCGATTCGTTCGTCGATGCATCGATTCACCCTCTCGAGTGATCCGCGAACAGGGTGACTCGTTCGCGTGAACAACGGGCTGTCGGTAAACCGTTTGTCGCGCGAGAATCGCGCGCGTGCGTACGGAACGTCCGGTGGAACTTCATCGAGCCAAGTACCGAATCCTACTTCCGGAATTGCAAGATGCTTGGAGCAAAAGTTACGCGGTTGCACGCTCGTAGAACCGCGAAACTTTCGCGAGAGCCGTTCGCTCTCCGTTGAACGGAAGAGACGTATGTACCTCGGACGATAAAGTCTGGACGGGCAACTCCGTAATTCGTTGGCCGCTTGACTCCCGCACGACAAACAGCGTACCAGCGGCGAAGATGAGCCGGTGCATGGCGCGAAAGCCAGAGAGGCAGAGAGACATGATGGGAGGAACGATCATAGAGACAAAAGCGAAGGTGTAGTCTCGTCCCTTCTCGCCGATCCTTCTCAAGGCCTGTCTTTCTTTACTCTTCGATCGCTGATACTGAGGATGGCGGGTCGCTGAGAGGGGTGAATAGCGATAGCGAACGTATACTCGATAAGCGGTGTGAGGAAGAACTCAATGATCCTCTACGTGATCTAAGCTGACCGCTACTTTTTTCGCTAGTCACGAGGCAGCTACTACCGCTAGACTAAAAGGACTTCGGCCTCGAACTAGCGCTACCGGACAGTTCTCTCTGCGAACGGGGATGTGGGGTGTATGCTCTCTATGGGGGGCGGGGCTGGGGGTTGGTGGTAGTGGGGATGCTGGCGAACAATCGAATGAGAAGCTAGTCGGGATCGCGGTTGTTTTTCCGGGCGTGCAAGCCACGGCCGCCACCCGGACGGACGACCCGGTCCGCGCCGGGTAGCTTAACGATGCAAAAGAACGCTAATGGATGATGCGAGCAGATGGTGCGCCGGCAGATTCCAGACGTTATTCTTATCGCGTTCTACTTAGTTCGCTCTGCCAACTACGTTGCTATCTACGTACACGTGTCCACTGGTACCTACGCACAGCGCAGAGATGGAGACAGATAGAGAGACGAGTGAAAGAAAGAGAAAGACAGAGAGAAAGAGAGAAAGGATAGATAGATAGAGTCCGATGACAGCGTGGAAGCGCACGACGATGTTGCTGAACGAGGGCTACTGTGTCGCTCGTGGACATTTGTATCGTTGGTGAAATTTCACTGGCCGATCACGGCAGCGGATCTCGAGGGTTTCCTCTAATCTCATCCGCTTGTCGTTAGCCCGCCGGGTGAGGCTGGATCCGAAAGCTAAGCCGATTGCCAGCCCCGTCTCCGGATAGCTTAATGATCGTTCCGTGCTACCGAGCTTCGAGACTATTTGCCAGAGGTGCTCCGATCGATAAATTACCGCGTTTATCCTACGACGAATGGCCGTTGTACCAACTACGGATCTCGATATTCGTTACGTCGATGAACATCGTTAAGGCGGGATAAATTTCCAACTTTCCGTGCAGCGATTCGAGCAGCGACAGAGGAAAAGCGATTCGAGAAACAGCGATGTAGATCGCGAGGCACTGGTTTACGTATTATAGGGGTGGTCGACCGTAAATTTCACGGTTAACGACAACGCGATTACGAGGGACAAAGAACGGGGGGCGCGTAAACCGCGACGAAATATTTGGTTCGACGAGTTCCAGCACGAGATTACGCTGATGTCGCGGGAATCCGGCAGCCCGATAATAGCACGGCCACTTCGCTGAAATCCGCAAAACTGCAGACTTCGCTGGGAGTGGCTGTTCGATGAGTCCGTCGCGGAACTGCTTCGAACGCGTCCCGGTTCTACGGAGGAATCTATTCAAATGCACTGCGGAGTCGCTTCAAGACGCCGATCTCCGTTATCGAGTGGACTTCGCAGGGCGAGAGGTCCGCCTTGCGGTTGGCTCGTCGCGACGCCGCGTTGGAAACGAGTCGAAGGGGCTCCAGCGTGGAGGGGCGAGAAAGTTTCGAGTCGCGAAAAATAGACTTCCGCAGAGGGTCGTGACAAGCAGCGTGTCCGACTGTTCGATTAGGAATGCGCGGTTCGCGTGGTACGATTCCATGGTCGACGAGCTAGTCAAATTTCGTAATCGTTGTAACCGTGGAACCGAATGACCCGAGAAACAGATGCCTCTGATAGAGAACGAGGAGATCGCTCTGGGATTAATCGGCCTGTCGCTCGCGGCAGCGTCTGCGCACCTGTGCCCAAACTTTTCGCGAATTAACTGGAGAGAAATATTCATACCGAGATAGTAATATTTTCTCGAAAACGTGAGGGGAAATTAGGCGAAAATCCGATAACGATCGAAGAGAAGAGAAGAGAAGAGAAGGGTAAAAGTCATACAAAGTGGCGAGTGTATCGTTGATTTCAGATAAATTTCGTGGAAAATTGACAGTACTGACATTTCTTGCAAGAAAACGAGGGTGGATTTATTTCGCGACCCAATTTTCGAAATACGTCCGGACATCGGCGGACATATTCCACTTAAAAATGTCTTACTAGCGGCGGAGCTATTCTACTTAAACCTGTCCGACCAATAGCGTACCTATTCTTTTTTCTTCTTTATGGTTGGCACTCAGACGATCCGCGCGAACGATCGAGGGTGCTTCAACGACGTTCGAGACGCGATTAGATGACTTTTTTGCCTATAATCCCGAATAATCGAGGCGACGGGGGTAATCGAGGTTAACGGCCCGCGACATCGGCTTTATGACGAAGGACTAGTCGAAAAGGAGTCTTTAACGAAGTCACAACCTTCGGAGGGCTGCCTCCCTTCGAGCAGAGCTATTTTCCGACGCGAAAATTGGGGTGGCTTGTATAATGTCGCTGGCTTTATTACCTCGGTGTACGTGTATATTAGGTTTAGAATTTCTTGTTTGCTTTCTGTCCACTTTTGCGTCGCCCTTTATGTGTCGGAAATTATAATTGAGTCCTACGTAAACGAATCTTCCCTCTGGCTAATTGTTTGGTTTCTACGACGTTAAAATGTGAAGAAAATAATTTGCAAACCTAATAACGATCATTTTTCTAATAACATTTACAGGGATTAACCACTTGCGTTGAAAAGACGTGCCACGCACGTCGTAAGGCTTTTGTCGCAGAATCGTCAACGACGTGGTATACACGTCGTCAGGCAATTGTCACAGAAACACTCGTTTGTGAATTTCTTGCCAGCGCAAGTGGTTAATTGAAAAATCTTTTGAAAATCCCCTTCAGCTACCTGCTCTTCACACTTTATTCTCGTTTTAATTCCTTTAACAATTTCGCAATATGTTCCTAATTTGAATCTTCTGTGCCTGTAATTCTGAGTATGGATTATATCACGCATTTCCGTACTAAAGATAACAAATTTTGCAGAAAATCAACTTGTTTATGGTATCTTCTAAATGACTGGAATATAAATCAAGCTGAGGAGAAATACAAAGGACGTCGATTGAGAGGAGCAAGTTCTTTTGTCTGCTATGCCATTCCTGAAGCTGCCCCTAATGAGACTGGCTCGTCCCGAACCCGAAGTATCTCTGGACCTACATATTCCTATAAATCAACGAGTCCGAGTGTTTTACGCTCGGTGTCGGGAACTGTAGAGATACAAATGTTCCCGGGAACAACGTGTTCGGTATATCTAGCAAGCGGCGAGTTGCACGGCAAACTTTTCGTTCCATAGTTCCCAGACATGGCTGAACGTTCTATCGGTCTATCGGAACCGGGTCGTCTGACGGCGCCGGATCCTAAATATTTGAAACTGACGCTCGTCTGCTTCCGAAAGTGCAATATACCCAGACTGGAATCGGAAGTTCCACGGTACCGCGACGTTTGCCGATGATTTCCGCGCTGAAATTTCTACGTGTGCACTGGTCATCTGGCTGTAAAGGAGCTTAACGTATGGAAAAGCAAACCGTGTGTTTCTCCCGTTTACTCACGCGTTCGTTATACGAAAAATAACATCGAATAATACTCTACTGTTATTTAACTCGAAATTTTCTTTCGTAGCGTCGTGTTTGATATATCCAAATAAGAAAATCTATCCGCAATCGGTATTAAAAATCGAATTGATTCTCCTTCTACCTATTTTGCTAGAATATACTATCTAAACACACACACACACGCCAGACCGAACGGGACTAACGCTGTTCTAAGGAATGCTTGCGAAAGCGTCTAGACATCTAAAAATCTGTCCGAGGTAAAGCACAGACACAAAGAGCCAACAGCCCTGTTCAACTCGCGATCAGTCCTCAAGCATACCATTCTCTGGCAGTCAAAACCTTCTATGAAAGGGGAGGATAAAAAGGGAAACGCGTAACAAAAATTCTAAGCTCAATCCAGTTGGATTTTGCGAAAGTGAAAGCGCTTCCAATCGACGCTTAAACGCCGAGAATGGCCTGTTTGCTTCTCTTTCTCACGCGGGAAAGAGATAAAGGGACGAGAAAAAGAAAGGGGTAGGAGCAGGTGGTAGACTCGCGATTCGGTTTTTATCCGATCCCTTTTAACGAGCGGCTTTGAATGGAAGAAAGGGAAATTGATATCGACCTTCGACGAGGGGAACTTGCCTGCAAATTGCCAATTCTCGTTCATTATTTCCTCGGTCGTCCACGTAAGCGAGACGCTACACGGCCGAACGCATTATTGACACTGCCGACGCGACGCG